CCGGTACAGTAAACACACTTTAAACAAGTGGATCGAACTATGTGTTAATTATAAATTCAAGAAATCTGAATATGAAACACGAAGCTGCCTAATAATTTACAACAGCATTGTGGTAGAAAGTACAAGAAAGTCGACTTCACACTTCTGTGCTGGGCACCTGCTGTTCCTTGCTCTGGGTCACTTTCAAACAGCAACCATAGTTACCCTTTCTAACAGTCATTATTAGCAACTGAGTCTGTCTTCTCTCTGGAATATAAACCCTGTGAAGACAGAGACTACATCTTTTTAAGGAAGACCTATGCTCTGAGAGTACAGCAAGAACTATTAATAGAGATCTGTGCTAACAATTAACGTGTGTGTACAGGTACATCTACACGAATAAATGAATGAGAGTTAGGGGGGAGGGAGGGAGGGAGGGAGGGAGGGAAGGAGGGTAGGAGAGACAGAAGGAGGGTTAGATTGGAGTGATTCACTCCATAAAGAAGTCATGGATGGTCTGACCTCTTATATTTGCTCCTCAGTCTTTTCCAGTCTTCTGTTTACTCAAAAACATTTCCCAGCAGCCCTTGAAACTTCATGGGGCCCTTCCCTAATCTCATCAATTACAGGTCAAGAGGTGTCATGTAAGCAATCTTTAACTTTTGCTTCACAGAAAATGGAGTAGTCTGGGCTCCCCCATGTTGTGGTAACAACTTAGCTTCAACCACACAGATAAGGAGAGAGCCCTAGGGAAAGAGAGAGAGGACACAGAGGGCCAAACTGGCCAAACAGGGACTAGCTGGATCGCTACATGACTGAAGTCAATGACAATTTGATTTCAAACACTAACTGCCGCAGCATAGATTGCAGCCTGGCCATTACAACCCAGACATGGGTGTGTGGTGTATCTAGACAGAGTAGTACAATGGCTAGCTCAGGTGGTCGGTTGATCATATTCCGGCCAGTGGAGTCAACTAGCTAAGCAATGAAGATTTTGTTACACTGTGTCCACAGCATGTTCATGGGTTAATAGGAACATAATTTAATTTAAATGCTGAATCTTTCCTTCTGTCTTTCCATTTTAAAAGAAAAAAAAAAGGTTTTGGATTTTTTGTTTGCTTGTTTGTTTGTTTGTTTTGTGAGTGTGTTTTTAAACCAAGGGCTCTTATAGCCCAGGCTGGTCTTGAACTTGTTATGTTGGCAAAGTTGGCCTTGAACTGCTGCTGGTCCTCTAGGCTCTACCTACCTAGTGATGGCATGACAGGCCCACACCATCATGCCTGGCTACCCAGTGCTGCCCAACCAGACAGTTCTGATCATGACACTGCATTTGGAGTTGTTTGGTATTTGTAAAAGTAAATCTGTAGCAACCAACCTGTTGCCCAACTGAAATTACCAAATTGCAGTTTAAATTTGTAATGAATTATGCCATCTTGCAATAAAGTGACAATTGAAACAAAAATAACCCCACAGATCATTTGAATGGAGCACCTTAGAAGGGTGCTGCTGTTAAGGAAACGCTCGACTCACACAAATACAGTCTTCGAAAAGAACGAATACATTTCAATTAGCTGGAAAGCATTTTAAATCTTTAAGAAATCATCCATACTATGCAAGACACAATGAATGCAAAGTGTGAATATGCACTGTAGCTCCTTCATTTAACATTTAAAAAAAAAAAAAAGAAGAAGAAGCTCAAATTGGGGTAGGAAAAAAATTACTGTAATTGTACTTTCCTTGAAGATTTTTTTTAAACTTTCTTTACAAATAAAGTGATCATTTTTAAAAAAGCAGAAGTGGCCGGGCGGTGGTGGCGCACGCCTTTGATCCCAGCACTCGGGAGGCAGAGGCAGGCGGATCTCTGTGAGTTCGAGGCCAGCCTGGGCTACCAAGTGAGTTCCAGGAAAGGTGCAAAGCTACACAGAGAAACCCTGTCTCGAGAAAACCAAAAAAAAAAGAAAAGCAGAAGTGCCACATAAACCATGAAGCATGGGGATGTCTAACATCTGAAGACAATATTATCTGGGCATGGTGGTAGAACCCCAGCACATTGGGGGCGCCCAGCAGAGGATCCCTGAGGTTATGGCCCAGACAGACTAGTCTAATTGGTAAGCTCCAGGTTCAGTGAGAGAAGCCATCTCAGACAATTAGGTGGATAATGACTGAGAAAAGTACCTCATGGTGGCATCTAGCCTCCAAACAAACAATCAGAAGCATAGACACATACAAGTGTACACCAAAAATACACATCTGTGTCTGTGCACACATAATACACCTGTGTGTGTGCATGTGTGTGCGCATCTGTGTGTGTGTGTGTGTGTGCACATGCGTGCATTCTTCAACTCAAGTTCTGCAGAACTAAATAACAACATGATACATTTTAGAAATCGGGTTGACTCACAGAAAATGCTTTCCTCTTACTGCACAAGTGCCACACATATGTATCTATACATACATGTAGGAATTTGACTTCAGAAGATCTTTGACCCCGTCTAAAGGCACATTTGGAGTCAAAAGAAAGATGGAGTGGACACTATAGAACCCAAAAAATGTCAAATTGTCGAATGTTTATTGAGAATAAAAATGAAAGTTACATATAAGGAACAAAAACCAAGCTAACAAAAGCAGAAATGGAAAAAAAAAGATTAAGCAAACTTTCTTTTTAAAAAATATTTTGATATGCATTGGTGTTTTGCCTATATATGTATCTGTATGAAGGTGTCAGATCCACTTGAGTTACAGACAGTTGTGAGCTGCCATGTGGGTGCTGGCAATTGAACCTTGGCCCTCGGAAGAACAGCCAGTGCTTCTAACCTCTGAGCCATCTGTCCAGCCCCCAAACAAAACTTCTTACACCAAATCCCAAGAACTCTAGCCAATGAGAGGAATTCCATAAGCATGCCAACGAGCTTCCTTTGTTTCCCGAAAGGAGACGTCACAAAAACAGAATATTTTCAGGATCTAAAATATTCTCTAAAAGAGGGGCTTATTTACAGGATGGTGAACGATACAGCAGAATATATACTTCACCTAAACCAGAAGGAGCCTCCAAGAGGTTTTCATTAGACAGACTGACAGAAATACCCATTCTGCAAAGTTCCCTTTGTCCCATGCACCCCATGATACTCTGAAGCTTGAGGGACATCAGATCATTCATGATAGCAGAACACTGAGAAGCCACAGATGAAGCTCGCATGTGGATAAGGCAAGTCTCAAGCTTAAATCTGTATCCTTTTTGGTTTGTTTGTTAAATCTATGGATGTTGAACCCAGTACCTCAAGAATGCTGGGCAAACACTTCCCTAGAGCCCTACCTTCAGGCCTCAACATACCTTTGGTTTGGTTTTGTTTTTTGAGATAGGCTCTCAGTGTGCAGCCTGGGCTGGCCTTGAACTCACAGAAATTTGACTGCCTCTGCATCTAGAGTGTTGTCATTAAAGGCGTGTGCCACCACGCCCCATCAAGTTTTCCTCTGAACTCCCTGATAGCTTTGATGAATCTCAATGTTCAGCTTTTCCTGTGTTTCTAACAGCAGGAGAAGAATGAAACACTTGCAGAGCATCCTGGATTAAGATCTATTCTAGAGGCAGTAGCATTTAGAGTATGAGGAGTGGCTGAGACAGAGGTCTGAGTGACCCCGAAGCAGGAAACATTCACTAGACAGCACTTGGCAGAAAGCCTCAAACTGAGTCTCAGGCAGGGGAAGCCTTCCTTTAGCTCCTCCCACTGTGGCCAACAACCTCACAGGCTGGAAAGCATCACTCCCTTCCCTGCTGGGATATCTGAGGGGACATGAGATACCTCTGGACATCAATCCGGTGTCTCCCAAATGAGGCAAGTCTGAACTGTGGGACCCCAGAAACACCAGAAATAAGTCGAAAATGAATCCACTCCCCCCATGACGCACTCTAGAGCCAAAGACCCCATGTGAGATTAAAGACTAATCAAATAATCTTCATGGCTCTAAAATGTCTCTATCTTACAAACACTCGAAACAAGACAGCAAAGCTAAGCAAAGACAGGATTCAATATGGCCACAAAGAAACTTACTATTAAATGGACACAATCCTACTAAATCAAATGGAACTACTTAAGGGCCAAAATTAAAACGTGAGATGGAAAGGCCAGCTCAGCTCAAGAAAAAGGAATGTCTTTATGGGGAAGGCTCCACTAAAAATCTGATATACACTTGCCTTAAAACTTAAAATAAATAAATAAACAGGCACCATAAAAATAAACTTTTAAATTTCATACATTAAAGGAACCTGCAAATTCACTCTGGTAGGAAGGTCATGGGCTTCACTCTGGGATGCTCCTGATGGCAAGCAACCACCAGTCATATACGGCCACTTCATGGGAGTGTTTCATATGCTCCCTCAAAACCATGAATATCAGGAATTGAAATCTGGCCTTCATTCATCAAATCACATTAGGCTCTGGGAAAACTTTGAACTTTCAAACCAAGCACTCATTTGATTTCCCAGCAAGGTCAACACAACAAGACAGCGTAGCACTGACATTCAGGGCTGTGTCCCACACCGCTAAGGAGTGACACCAATGTGGCCTGTTGCTATGGTTCCTGACTATTCATTCCTGAAAGAAGGTAATTCGAAGAGGCGGCAGGTGAGCATCAATACGATGCCACCACTTGGGCACAGGGCACTGACACCTGTTACTCATTTCTGAGGCAAGTCATTTTTATGAATCACCACTTTGATGATGTGAATATTCCTTTCTCGCCTTAACCCCACATAATTTACAATCAAAAGTTAATTGAAGCTTAGCTTCAACAACCTGGGAAAAGTATGATATTATTTGGGGGACAAAGAACACGGATAGGTTATTCCTTCAAGGGAAATCTTTACTCTTTTAAGGCTATTGCCCACATGTCACACATGTACATTTATACACACGTTTAGATGCATGTTCGTCTCAACTACAGAAGAGTAAGTGATCAAATCCCAGCCCTCAAAGGTTGAAATAGTTTTAGATACAAGTCCAGCAATTACATATGATTTTTACCTTTTTTTTTTTTGCTTCTATAATTCAATCTTCAGTTATAGTCACCTCAAAAGGTCACTTCTCACCCTGAAAACAAAACAAAAACAACGCATCACAATCTGATGAGAAGGAGAGTCCCACAATGAATGTCCAGCATCCACACAAGAGAAAGGACAAGGAGTTCCACTGTACATCCTGGAGATTTCTCAGTTCACAGAAACAAGACTGGGATCTGCACTCGAAGACCATAAACCCAACAGGGACAGGGAAAGTCAAGACGAGACACTTCCGACTTCTCACGAGAACTCTTTCTTGTCTCGCCGGCTATTAATTCATTTTCGAGTGGAATAAGACGTGACTCATGGGCCGCTCGCTGCTTTGGGAAACCAGACTGTTAGTTGAGTGTGTGTTGGTGCATACCCACATTTTTGACTTCATCGAAGCATCGGGCTTCGTTTTCACCTCTTTGAAAGTGAGCCTGCACTCGTACACATGAGGCTTTCTGTCACTGGGAACCTTTCCAAATAATTGTTTTTTTGTTTTTTGTTTTTTAAGGCACCATTTTCTACTTGGGGAGGGGCAAAGGGTTAATTGCTGATGAAAGCTGTTCACAGACTATTTTGTACTTAGCATCTAGCTCCACCAGATCCACACTACATTAGATAAAAATGGTTCATCTCACACGAAGTAAACAAATGAAACCAAGCTTCCTAAAACACAAAGGAAGCGAGGAACACATGTCAACCCGCATCTCCTCCGCGTCTCCACAGCCCCTGAGCGAAACTCCGTGTGCCTTTTAGGAAATGTCGGGAGCTGCCTCCCACTGCCCATGTCACTGGGATCAGCACATGGCCCAAGTGAAAAGGACACACATCAGTTTATTAACTTAGATCATGTTAGTGATCGTGTTAGCAGGGTTCATCCCACCTCACTGACAAGAGACTAGAATACAAGATGGTGAGATCCTATCACTTTACTAACACGCTAATAGCCTTTTGCCTACTGCCCAGAACAATACAGAATGGAGTACATCCCCGCTCACCCTCTGCTGTCAGCCCTGAATGGGAGAGCACAGTCTTCACCCTTCACTAAGGCTGGGAAGTGGCACTTTCATGCCAACCTCTGACATTTCCACAATCAAGGGGTATGCAGATTCTTGCCGTGTCGACTGGAAAAAAAGATGCAGGTTCTGAGTGAAATCAGAAGTCTCGTGTTTACTGTGAGAGGAAATTGGAGGTTTTCACCATAAATCTTTACCTTCTGGGTGGGGGAAAACCCTAGCGCAGGGGTTTAAAATGACTGCCCTGCAATTTGCACCCAAACTTTTTTTGTTTTTACACAAAACAATTCAAATCGAAAATGAAAATCGTGCTCTTTCCTGCTGATGCGTCTCTTCAGGATTGCCTTCTTGTTTCGTAGTGAACAGTGAAAAGAAAGGGCAATGGCCATCAAGTGTTCAAGGCATGTCAGGGGCCTGTGAGGTACCCCCATTCCACTCAAGGCACACAGCATCTCCTACACAAGAAATGTCACACACACCCCCAAAAAAACCAAAACTATTCAAATTATACTGTTAGGGACAACACTCGGGGTCCCTCGCATACTAGGCAAGTCCTTGACCACTCGGCTACATGTCCAGCACACATCAAATCTTAAATATAAAGTGAGTGAACTTTGGCAGACCTTGCTCGATTCAAAGCAAGAAGGCCCCTTGCCTCCCTCCCTTTTCCTGGAGACTTACTCGAATGCGTGTGCTTTAACCTAATTTATATGTTTATCTATTGAGCTGAGTCTACTTTTGCATGTTTGGCAGAAGGACCTATGGTATTAGAACTTTGCAATGCAGATGAGATTTGCTATCATATAGGCAAGGCAAACAACTGGACCTCATTAAAATTTAATTTCCACAGAAAACTGCTGAAAGGCCCACTTTGAATAAAGTTATCTATCTCTTGTGTTGCATCTGAACCTGCAGAACAGTTCCAGGTAAGCATGAGGTCTGTCTGCCCACCCGGCTGCCTAAAAAGCACAGTTCATAAGTGAATGGAGGCAAAAATCAGACATTGGTTGACCCCCAGAATGTAAGGGTATTTTTCCTCTGGGGAAATAAAAGCACAAAGAGCGAGTAGCAGCACAATTAGACAACGAACACTCTACCATATCCAGACTTAGGCCGTGCAAAACTGGCTACGTTTGATTTTCACTTACACATCGAGTATCGTCAGTAAGATGTAAAATACATTCCATAAATTTTAATGCACACGCACATCTGACCACTCATTAATTTATTTCTGTTGATTTTACTTTTTAGAAAAAGGCATCCATTAGCCTAGTCATCTGAAATGGTATTTTCTGAGTTTTTCTGCAGAAAGATTAATAGTTCAACAGCTGTTTGCCATCATGTGGAATTAAATGAAATGTGTCAATATAGAAGACAAGAAAATAAGGGGTTAGAACTGAGGCCTGAGCTGGTATCATTACGTGCTTAGGAGAACCAGAAATCAACAACTCTGCTGAAAAAGATGCAACTTGCTTTTTTCCCAAAGCATAAAACTTCAATTTCTAAAACTGTGTACTTTTACTGATCAAGTCAATCGACTATTTACCTGTCTGACCATTGGCAGCACAAACATTAAAGCTCAGATTAAATCACTGTGTAAAGCTTTTAAGTTCACACACACACACACACACACACACACACACACACACACACACACACACACACCAGTATAAAAGAAATACATTCCCCTTCAGCCTTCTTGTTTTAAAAGGCTGCCACCACACAGATGCCATGTTGTTTTCTTTTTCTCTCTTTTGAAAAACTTTCCTAGTGATTTTGTGTGTTAAAAGCGAGCCAGGCATATGGTAAACAGAAATGGCTTTCCTTCCTGGCCTTCTCTTTCCCAGTAAAGATCCTACAAACTAGAATTTTCCAAGGCCTCTTCACCACAGCACGTGTTATTTACCTGGAGCTACAAGGTGACCACAGAGGCTGTGCTGAACCCCCACACGTCACCTGCCACCTGCAGCCTTGGAAACCCAACTTCTCAAGGGCTTCCTCTTTTTCGACCGCCCCGCCCTCCCTCCTCCCTTAGATGTTCACTGGGCAGTGCCCTGGGGCTGCCACCCTGCATCCAGGCTTCACTCTTGAATTTTGTCCCTCACTGGATCTGTGAGGTATGTAATGCCCACTGCCAACTGGCATGAGCTCCTTGGAACTGAAGCACAAGTTAGCGGGTGAGATCCTGCTTCACAGAGCTGGAAAGTAACAGCATACCTTCTATTTTTCACATTCAAAGTAGTTCCCCCTTTTCCTTTCACAGCGGCTACAATAAACGATTACCACCATGATTCCTGCATTCTCTTTCACAATATGCAGTTACCACAAACTGATGCTGAAGGGTAACCAACAGTCTCTCTCAAGCCTCCATCCAACACAGGCTGGTGGAAAAGCCACTGTGCGCCAGTCTTGCCAGGGACACGAGGTGAGCCAAGCCACCCCAGGTCCATGACAAAGGGGCAGCTTAGCAGGTGCAAGGGACTAGGAAGACTCAGCCCGTGCTTCCCTGAAGTATAGAACATGGCTCAAACTTCCACACTCCCACATCTTCTTACTGAACAGCACAGACTTCACTTGAGAAAATAGGTCCAAATGGGCCAGTTTCCAAGGGAGTACTGCCTCTTTAAGTCGTCAATCTTAACTCATTTTGGCTCTCCTGTCTTATTTCCCAGTGATTTCTTAGAAAACAAGGCTATCGGCACATGTTTGACTGATTGAACACAAGGGTCATTTTGTTTTCTACACTTAAGAAAATCCACTTAGAAATCACCCCCAGAGCTTGCCATCTCTAGAACTTCAGCTACTGAGTCAGATTTAACAAAAATTCAAAGGAGGGAAGGCAGAAAGACAATGAAAACAGAGGTGGGGGTGGGGGGAGGTGGGGGGGGTGGCGGGCAGAGAGAGAGACAGAGCAGAGAATGAAAAGGGAAAGGAGGAAGGAAGGACTTCTGTACAGTCCAGGCATCCTGCAGCCAGGGGTGGTCGGAGACACACCCATGGCAGTTGGCTAATAAACGCTACACTTCCTTTACTGGTCTCTATCAAAGAAATGACCTGCCATACACCACCCTACATCATTGTCCAAACCCCCTCCTGTCCTTGGGAGGGACATTTTACTGCCTTTTCTCTCTGGGACACATCACAGAGTCTAACTTTGGGGCTCTGTTCTGGTAGGCAAAACTCAAAAACTCCACACACAGTGCAACCATGTGCTACAGGCAACCCAGAGGATTGCCCGAGAAATCACTCCAGGCTGGCATTCCCCCAGAGAACTACAGCAGGGGCCTGTCTCATTTGGAAAACTCATTCTCTTCTTACCTTCCACTCAAGTAAAACCCTGGTCACGGTCATGTGAAAATATTTTATAGGTATCCTTTAACAACCTGTACACGTTGAAAACCAAAAACAATATTTGCTGTTTTGCCTTTGAAGCGCTAACAAAGCCTTTGTTTTAGATTTGCCTTCAGTGTGCAATAAGAGTTAATAATCAAATCCATCCCAACCCCCACAAATGTTAAACAAAAAGATAAAAGAAATGCAAATAGCTATTGTCATGGAAAGTTAAAGTACCTGTCTGTATTTTTACGTGAAAACTATTATCTCTATCAATCAAAATTTAAGAATACAATAGTGCTAATCACAGAAGGTGCTCTGACGGCTTTACTTCTTTCCCCTTGTTTAAAAAAAAAGTATTTTTCCTCTTAAAAAAATGAGTATAAAAGTCATATACTTACAATTAGCTAGAATATTTGTAATTTTATCATTAAAAACCTTCAGCAGCCCCACTGCTAATAAATGCTTCTAAGTCTCTAGACTGATTGGTACCCAAGAAGACCCAAGCCCTCGCATATTTTAATAAGGTTGATGGAATTTTATTTCACTTCTCCCAGTTTCCAACCTGCGGGGGAACAGCACACTCTCCTGTTGGAAGGAGTTACTCAGCCTGTGGCAACAGTCAGGCAGGAGCAAGTGCCTTCCTTTAGACCCAATTCCTGCACCCAGCAATAGCTTCACACAGGACGTGGAC